TAATAATGTAACATATGTGTGTGTGTGTGTGTGTGTGTGTGTGTGTGTGTGTGTGTGTGTGTGTCCCCTGAATATTATCCCAGTGAATGGCCAGTTACTAGTCAGAGAAAAACAAAAAACAAAGAGCCCCCCTAAAAACTCCAGGGATACCCATATAATATAGAGAATTTTTTCACTTGACCAGAGCTACTATAGATGAACTTTAATTTCCATGGTCCTGTTGAGCTATAAACTCATGGGTTAGAAAAAAATCCCAAACTTGATCATTTCGTGAGAGACCAAGTGCTCTTCTGTACATAACTTTCTTTATTCTCCAGGTGCATAGAGTGCCCACCATTTCCCACCATTTCTTTTGGTCTTGTGCTGGTCTGTTCTGAGTGTCATGTTGATGGACTGGTCTTCTTTCTCTCTTATTCTATGTAATGTTTCTCTGATTCTCTTTCCAGGTGGTATCCATATTATCACTTGACGTGAAAGTGGTATTGGTGGCATTCTTAAAGCGTTTCCCTAAATGTGTTCATCGTCTCCTTTTTAGTACATCTGATGCTTTAGGTTGGTTTGCCTTAGAATTTCTGATGTTGCAATAAACTCTTTCTAATGGACTGTTAAGATCTTCCACAGACATTTACTTTGGAAGGAATTGATCTTCTTGGTGTAGGTTTCCATGACTTTGCTCCGTAAAGGAGGACAGAAATGACTCCAGTGTTAAAAATTCATATTTTTGTATCCATGCTGATCATGCTTCTTTTCCAAATCTTTGAGTTTATGAAATACTTACTAATGATAGCAATTTACACGTTATATTTATTTCCTCTGTGAGCCACATATGCCAGGAATGAGGCCTTCAATTAGGGAAAGGAAGGTTATTTACTTTTAGACATGAACTGGGCAAATTTTGCAAATTATAGTCTCTCAAGGAAAAATACAAAAGCTGCAGGTCAGCAACAATCTCTTCCATTGAGTTTTTCTACGGAGAGTAGATCTGAAAAATTATGCATTGGCAGCAGCTATTGTAAAATCTATTATTTCAAAACCTAGTCTATTCAAAGTCACACAAAACACCAATCCATAACTCTATTCAGCAGCTACTTTCCTCTGTCCCGCTCCCAACCATCATCATCCCCTTGTTCCCAATCCTAGGTCTACCCTGTTCTCTCAGTGTCTTTGATTCTTGCAACTCCCTTGTACCCTTGTTCCTTTCTTCCTCTTCTTATCTTCCCCTCCTATTATTTTTCCTCGCTCTCTCGGCACTCTACCAGTTAGGGTGACCAGACGTCGGCGGACCCCCCACCCCGCATGTGTCCCGATATTTTCTTCCTCTCATCTGGTCACCCTACTACCAGTTCAGATTCAGCCGGTCCAAAGTGGAGCTCCTGGCTTTTTCTCCTCATTTCTCTACTTCTCTTCTCTGTTCTCAATCTCAGAGTCTACTTTTCTACTCCCACTTCCACACTTACATTGCAGCAAAAAATAGCGTATCACTAAAATCCATCCTATTCTATTTCCCACTGCTAAAACCCTTGTCAATAGAAGGTTTTTCTAGATCTCTCCCCTTGATTAGTCTAAGCTTCCTCTGTCCAGTATCTCCTTTCTCCAGTTTGGCTGGGATTTCCAAAGGTGCATAAAAAAGCAGGACACCCAACTTCCTTGTGTCCTGTGAAAATCCCAGCCTTTATCTACATTCTACTGGTAAAGTCATCTTCTTCCACCATTTCACTCATGTCACCCCCGGTCGCCCTTGAATCCCATCATTGATTTACTGACCTTTACAACACCAAAGTCATTCTCCTTTTCCTGACCTTACAGGCCCTTTGTGCTCTTGCCTTGGCCTACATCTTTTTTCTCTCATTTTCTCCTATTCAAACTTTTGCTCCCAACCTCCTCTCATTTTGGGAGTATTCAACCAATAGTGGTGAAGAGCAGAGTGGTGGTTTGCCAAACACCACTTCTGTCCCCCTCCCAATTTCTCCTTACATCCACCTTCCTACATCCTTCACCACTGATCTTGCTACACCCTCCCTCAGTTGAATTGCTGTCCCATATTGTGTCAGATTGTAAATTCTTTGAGGCAGGGACCATATCCCATTGTATATTTTGTGAAGCAGCATGTTCATATGTGGTACTACTGTATAACAATGCTTAATAAGTATTTTAAACAGGAAAAAAAATGAACATTTCCCCTTTGTTTTAGATTTGTTCTGTAGAAAAAATGTAGATAAGTTAATGCTCTGTAGGTTTATATTTTACTGTGTGCAGTGGGAATGACATTACCACCCCTGAGAGTCTCCAACAAGATATATTCTTGACACATTGGGTCCCATGGGCAGTTCTAACACACAAATGAGGCAATAATGCAGCCCAATTACCTGCATTTTCCTATACTCAAAATACAGTTTCCTTAAACTAAGTTTTCACAAAATTATTTTTACAGTTCTCCCCAGTGATGCTTAAGCCAAGTCAGAGGAATCAAGCTACTTCGGGGACTCATAACCAAAAGCGAACAGTGAAAGTGATTCATGCTGTGAAAGAAAGGACATCAGGATTGAAGGAGAGTGTTCATTTTGGTAGTAAAATGATTTGTACGATGGGTTGCTCCAGAGGAAAATAGAATTTTATGCCATCATCTAGCTGATATGTTTGCACACTGAAACATGTTTCAAAACAAGCTTAGGAAAGGTTTGCCAAGTGTTGTATTATATGGCTTGGAAACTTCCATTATGCTGTACATCTGTTTATGAAGTTATTTACTGTGTACAATAGGTATTCACTCTGTGCATATAATGTTTTGATTGCAATTTGTATTATCCTTTAAAGTATACCTTCCCTGTCTAGTTTATGTATGAGTTACGGGATAACCCAACAAATGTTTATTTGCAGCCTCTCTGTGATTTCATTGTGATCCAAACCATTCAGTTTTAATTATAGATAGTGGGCAAAACTAGGATGTTTGATGTAAATCCATGCAAGATTCAAACATGTTAACCATTGGTATTAAGAATTCAGATTATGGCTTGAGTTTTTAAATACTTCATGTAACTAACCTAGAGTTGTGTGATAGGGGCACATCAGAAATTAATTAAAAACAAAGAAGTTATAGATATTTGTTGACAATGAACGAGCTAGTGATAGCTGTATTTTTTCAGACTGCTTCTGATCCTAAGAATTTTAGGAGGTATACATTAGGGAGGTCTCCTCCAAACATCAAATCCCATATCCCTCCTCAGTCCCATATTTAGTTCTACCTAAAAAGCAGAAGAATTTCTACACAACACCACTTTGTTAGAGTAGTGGTAAGGTTGCAGGGTCACGGCAGAAGTTTAAGTGTGTACTTCCTTTCAAGAAGGATAGGCTTGGTGTGACACTGCACCCCATATTCTTCATAGTGACATTATTATATGATTATGGCATAATTATGATATATGTTATGAAAGACTGGTCACATGAGAGGTCATTGAAAAGGTTATGATTTGCTGAATATGATTATCCTATTTGTATTCATGTATCATTTTTGTATCTGAAGTTATAAATACTGACTATATACCTGTACTTCAAATGTCATTACATCTGGGTAATGCCCAATAGACAAGATGCTTTCAGTCTAGATAGCTGGTTGGGAAGGGACTATTCAGGGCAATGAGCCATTAGGGAAAACAATCGGCTTTAGAAGAAGTTTATCTGCCACCTGGTGAGCCTTCCTTAGTATGCTACAGACAGCCTGTGAGTGATGGCTGCTATGACTCTACAAGGACATGTGACCAGGTCACATGATGCTGGACTCCATCTTGGGATGTCAGTATTTTTCCAGAGACTGGTCTGGGAACCAAGCTTTGGAACAAAGGGTTCCTGCCCTATGCAAAAGCTATATAAGGCAGGAAGTGACATCATCTGTGGTTCTTCACTCCCCACACAAGAAGACTTCTAAAAACACCTGGAGGAACAAAGACTGAACTAGGGGAAGTGCCGGACCCAGGCCAAAGGGATTTCTAGCCTGTACATGAAACACCTGGGGGTTCTAAGCTGTAAAGTAAGTGCAGCTTGCCCTTTAAGAATCTGCAGCCTACTTGTATCATTTATCAGGGCGAGAATCTGCTTATTCATATCTAACCTATTTCGTATATTAAGATTAGTTTGCGTTTTTTGTTCATTTACTAGGTAATCAGCTTTGATCTGTTTGCTATAACTTATAATCACTTAAAATCTATCTTTTGTAGTTAATAAACTTGTTTTTGTTTTAATCTAAACCAGTGAGCTTTGACTGGAGTGCTTGGAGAAAATCTCTGCTCGGTTACACAAGTGTGCATTGTTCTCTTCACATTGAAGGACAGGCGGACTGGGTATTAAACCCATATACTGGCCAGATTTGATCAGGGCAGGACAGTACTACTGTGGGGTCCCAGGCTGGGAAGCTGGTGGTTAGAAAGCCTGTGTGTAACTGCAGCTGGGTGTGTCCCTGCCTGTATGAATGCTTGAGAAAGTGCAGGCTGGAGGGCTTTGTACTGTTGTGATAAGCTGCAGTGTGAGAGGGAACCCAGGCTGGTGCTTCAGGGGGACTCAGTGGTACCCCAGTTCCAGGTGGCACCTTAGGGGGAACGAATCACAGTTGGTTGTTTAAAACCAAACAAACAAAACTAATGTCAGAAGCCCAGAAAATGAAACATTAGAGTTGTACTTCTTGAACAAGGCACCTACAGTAACTTAGTTATGTCCCATAGGAATAACATCAGGAAATCAAAAACTCATACTACCTTATCCCATCCATAACTCAAGCAGTTTCATTTCACCAGTGATGACCAAAACTGGGATATTTAATCGTAATTGGAAATTGCACTACTTACTTTAGTGCCATCCACAGTAAACATGGAAGAATGTTAAATTCCTGAGTAGAGACACAGGGCTAGATTCACAAGGAAGACTTAAGTATCTAACTGCTCTTTTAGGTCCCCAAGTCCAATATTTGGGCAGTACTGGCATTCACAAACCAATACTCAGCTGCAGCCTAATCCTATAGGCACCTACAGTTTTGCTGGTGCACATGCACAAAGTCACCTCATTTCTGATGCCACTAAGCTACTCAGTGCCTCCCTCATGCCTAAGCCCTGGTGGGATTCACTAGGCATAGGTATGCTCAGAGGCTGCCTTAGAGTATGCTGCCCTACTGGATTGAGCCCTGTACAAGACATTGCTATTGTGGTAGTGCCCACTTAGGGTATGTCTACACTACAAAATGAAGTCTACTTTACTTACATCAGCATACAGCCACCACAGTTATTAAATCACTTGTGTGCACACACACTTGGCTCCTTGTGTTGGCAGTGTGCATCCTCACCAGGAGTGCTTGTATTGATTGTACTGTCAGTGTGGGACATTGTGGGACAGCTCCTGAAAGCCAGTAACAGTCAACGTAAGCAATGCAGCGCCTGTACTGACACTGCGTCAACCTAATTACATTGACTGTGACTCTACACCACTCAGGAAGGGTGCTGTTACTAAATCTGTGTAGAGAGGCACTTACGTCATTGGGAGCCAAATTTATGTGCAGACACTTCCACAGCTAGGTCGACGCAAGGCACCTTACAAAATAAGGCCTTAGACAAAATAAGTTCTGTAGTTAGAGTCACCCCTTTGCCTGATGTGGAGCAGGGGCTTGAACCCAGGTCTCCTACCTTCTATGAGCAGGGCTGGCTCTAGGCACCAGCAAAACAAGCTGGTGCTTGGGGCGGCACATTTCTAGGGGCGGCATGGCCAGCGCCAGAATGCCACCCCTGCCGCCCCTAAAAATGTGCCCCGGCCGCCCTAGCTCACCTCCACTGCTGCTGCCGCTCGCGCACTGGTGCTCCCCCTCCCTCCCAGGTTCTCAAACCTGGAAGAGAGGGGGAGATTCCGAGCGGCCGCAGCGCACGAAACAGCTGATTCGCGCGCTGCTGCTCCCCCTCCCTTCCTCCCAGGCTTGAGAGCATGGGAGGGAGGGGGAGATCCCGAGCGGCCACGGCGCGCGAAACAGCTGATTCGCGCGCCGCTGCTCACCCTCCCTCCCAGGCTTGAGAGCCTGGGGGGAGGAGGCAGGGCTGGGGATTTGGGGAAGGGGCGGAGTTGAGGCGGGGCCGGGGATGGGGTAAGAAAAATATGGGGGAGGGGGGAGCGGGGCGTCCAAAATTGTTTTTGCTTGGGGCGGCAAAAATCCTAGAGCCAGCCCTGTCTATGAGTGCCCTAACCACTGGGCTATCGAGTCATTCTCACATTGTCTCTGGCCCAGTGAATATTTAATTATTTCATACAAAGTGGAACAGCTTCAACAGGAAAGACGAGATATCTCATAGCCTGGTGCTTATTGGACCTCTCTGAAGGGCAAAGTTAAGGTAGTTTATGGTGTTCTTAAGATAAGTGCTTCCTTATCTTTGGGGTTTATTTATTTTAAATTTCAAACCTTGAAAGGTAAAATGCACTCAGACCACTGATACGTGTCTGAAACCACCTTAATGAATACATGTGAATGTAAATTTAGATAATTAAACCGTCTCTCTTGATTGGAATATACCAGCTCTTGCTTCCACAGGGTTTATTGAAACTATCTTACATGGGCTTTCTCCAGCTGTTTACAGGCTTTACTGTAGCCTCCATTGGGAACTACAGAACCTATTAACCTCTTCAAACCAGGTTGCATGAAATAAACAAAGAGCAAGTATGGGACGTGCCAGTGCTCATCTCATCTTAGAGTTTCAAAAGATGCTGAAATTAATATTCTTTGTTTGTGGTTTATTTATGCTGAATTGTGCATGGTAGGAAGAAAGGTCTTGTATTTAAGGCACAGGACAGGAAGTCAGGACAACTCTGGGTTCTAGTCCCAGCTTTCCCTCAGACTTTTTACTTTGCGCTTACCCGCAAGGTACTGAATCACTGTTTCATGGGTCTTATTTCTAAAAAACAGGGATATTACTTGCTTAGCATACACGGGTGCTGTGGGTCTAAATGAATCAACATTTGTAAGTGTTTGTATGGAAGATTCTATCCAACTGCAAAGTATCACTATTGTATTTTGAAATTTAAACATGATGGGCTGAGGAAAACAATAGTTCCCTTGAAAACACCATGAATTATGTAGGAGCAGAATAATCTGCCCATATTTGTCATGATTAAAATACTTTAATTTTGCTAGAAGTAGATGAGAAAGGAAAGGAGAAGCTGAGTAAGTGATACATAAATACATGTAACTAAACATTAAAAAATTAACCAAAGAGATTATATGTGCTAAAGAGAGAGTATTGTGTTTGAACACAAAGATGGACAACTGTAAGATAGAGGGCCACAAAAATCGACTAAAACCCTTTGATGGGCCCTACAGAATTTAAGATTAAGCAAGATCACAATCTTTTAGAACAGCTGCTGCTGCCAGTCATACTGATCCACTTGGCTCTGCTTCCCCATGAACCCAGGCTCCGACTCCTCCCCACACCACCTAGCTCCAGGTAGTGCCTTCCCATTGGCTGATTGGGAGCTGAGAGCCAATCAGGTTCTGGCCAGGCCATCCACCAGTGGGCTGGACTGGGCACACCTCTGCCAATGGGAAGGAAGTAACTAGAGCTGGGTGGCATGGGATGGAGCTGGAGCCTATGTTGATGAGAAGCCAGGCACATGGGTTCCCCATGGGACAGAGTCTGTATAAATGGCTGAGCAGGGCAGAGGCAGAGACTGGCAGCAGCATATCCGGCTGTGCCAGGTCACAACGCCACTCAGATATGGTCCAGCTGACCCTCTGTCATGCCAGCAGGGAGGGGGCTCTGCTGTTTCACCACCCAGCCCTGGCTACTGTCCTCGCATTGGCAGAGATGTGCCCTAACCCATCCATGGCATGGTAGGAGAGAGGAGGGATGGGCTGACCACAGACAGTTGTGAGAGCTGGGAGGAACGGGATAGCAATAACTAGAGCTGGGTGGCATGGGGTGTAACCCCTTCCTTGTGTGAGTGATGGAGAGGTGGCTGGGCTAATGAGTGGCGTTGCGGCCTGGCATATGGGATCCTGCTCCCAGTCCTGGGCTCTGCTCCATACCCCTTGGTGATGCTCCTCACTTTAAGCACTGTGCCTGATGCTCAGATTTGGGTAGGCCTGCGTGCTACAGCCCATCCAGCCCCACCCATTGCTATGGCCCTGCTCAGCCCTACCAAAGAATATTTTCACCAGCTGGCTACGGGAAGGCCAGATAAAATGACCTGGGAGGCCAGATGCAACCCCCAGGCTGCCAGATGTCCATTCCTGATTTAACATAGTAATGATATAGCTGCAGAAATCAGGACCAAATCCCATCCAAGCCATCTTCCTATTTTGCAAACATGAAATCCTCTCTAAATCCTCCAGAGCATTCATATCATTATACCAATTAGCCATTTAATCCAGATGCAGTCTTCCACTCGCACAATATGCCTTATCAGAAGATGCTCTTAAGAATGGTTTCCACAGTTTACTTAAAGACAAGATGCTTTCCTCATCTTGTAATGCTCAAAATTGTTGTTATTAAGCATAGTATTGCGCTCTATGCAAACTGATTCCCGAGAGCTTTGAATATCAAACACTGCCCAAAATCTCAAATCCCATAGTTCCAAGACAAACTATAACTCTAGCCCTAGATCTTGGCATCCTGCTGGACATTTAATATGTACTGGAAATGACTTTCTTGTGAATTAAATCAAGCCCCATATCCTATACTGACCTTGTCATGGTCTGATTTATCCTCAGCCAATTTATATTATCAGTTTGATAGCCTGTGCCTCTATAGTACTTCACTCTCCATTGATCTG